AAATTTCTTATGCTTCTCAGAGTACGGAAAAGAAAAACAAACAAAAAAACCCAAAAACCAAAAAACCATTCACTCCATGCTCTTAGTTGGGTCAGACATCTTTGCAGTAGACTGCTTCTGTTCAAAGTCCTCTTCTGATCCATCAGCTATTTGTGGGTGCCTATTACCATCAACACACAAGCCTCAGCATATTATCCTCAGGCTTGGCAACATTGGGCTGAAACCTGCAGAGATTAAGGGACTAAAACTTAGTTTTATTCACAAGTATTTATTGACAGCCTATGCACCAGTCCTGTTCTAAATCCTGTCGATAGAGCAGTGAACAAGAACAAAACAAAACAAAACAAAAATCCGCTTCTTAGGAATTTACATCCTAGTGCAGGAGTTGGTCAGATTTTTCTGTAAAGGCCCAGATAGTAAACATCTTAGGCTTGGTGGGCCAAATGGTCTCTGGTATAACAATTTAGCTCTGCCATTTTAGTGAAATAGCAGCCACAGACAACATATAAATATATGAGTGCAGCTGTGTCCAATAAAACTTTATCTACAAAACAAGATGGCTGGTCAAATTTGAGCTGTGGGCCATAGGCTGCTGAGCCCCCTCCTAGTGGCTTATCAAACACTTTTCCTAAACCTTGTAAGAAAATTAATTACAAGATATTTTGCTTAAATGACCCACTAAAAAGTTTGTTTCATCATTTCCATTAAACCAAAATTAAAAGTGTATTCAACTGTTTCTCATCAAGACAAAGAGATATAGCAGCTCAACTTTGAGAGCTGCCCTTTGAGAGTAGATATAAGAAGAAATCTGCTTATGCCTAAAGATTCGTGCTCATTGAACAAACTGTTTCTGAACTGCCTAATACACACACACACACACACACACACACACACAAGTATATATATATTTAAAGATAGGGTCTTGCTCTGTCAACCATGCTGGAGTGCAGTGGCGTGATCATAGCTCACTGTACTTTGAACTTCCTAGGCTCGAGGGATCCTCCAGCCTTAGCCCCCTGAGTAACTAGGCTACAGGCACGCATTACTATGCCTGGCTTTTTTTTTTTTTTTTTTTTTTTTTTAAGAGATAGGATCTTGCTATGTTGCCCAGGCTGCTGTCAAACTCCTGGGCTCAAATCATTTTTTCATCTGGCTGTCCCCTACAGTGCTGGGATTTTAGGTGTGGGCCTCCATACCTGGCTTGCCTTATATTTCTAATGAGTGCTATTGAGGTACAAACAGCACATGTGATTATTTGTGATGTCTGAAAGGATGATTAAATGGGATTAAACACGCAGGAAATATATTAGGGGAACTGCCCATGAGGAAAAATTGGGAGGAAGACAGAGGAGGTTTGTAGAGGCTTCAGACTGGGATGCTGGTCTAATTGCAGGAAAGAGGAGAGGGAAGGAAGAAGAGTTGGGTGGAAGTCTTATCCCTCAAGGCAGCCATGCAACAGTTCCAGCAAGGCTGATGGAGAGCCCCTAGCCAAAGTCATGTGTCAGTGGACTTGTACAGCTCCCAGGAGCAGGCCTACATATCCCTGCCACAATGAGTGGGAGTGACTGCTGGAAATTGTGGTCTCTGCACCAACACAGCAGTGGATTTCAGAGCACAGCCATTGGCGAGCAGTGGTCAGTTATACTTCCCACAGTAGGAGACTGGAAAGGTCCATCTTTAAGGCTGTGAGGAAGGGCTCCACGGATCATTAATTTGACTGAAAGTTAAGAAAGAAATGACTTAGAAGTGTTTTGCCACATTAACTCAAACTCATGAAGGTAAAGACTGCTTTACTTGTTGCATTCTAATAGGACTCATTAAAACATCTTACATAAGGAAGAACCCAAAGGCAGGAGTGATTGCTCATGTCTGTAATCCAAGCGCTTTGGGAGGCCAAGGCAGGTGAATTGCTTGAACCTACGAGGTCGAGACAAGCCTGGGCAACATAGGAAGCCCTGTTCTCTACAAAAAATAAAGAAGTTAGCTGAGCATGGTGGCACACACCCGTAGTCCCAGCTGCTCGTGAGGCTGGAGTGGGAGGATCACCTGAAACCCGAAGGTTGAGGCTGCAGTGAGCCCTGATCAGTCACTGCACTCCAGCCTGGGTGACAGAGTGAGACCCTATCTCAAAAAATAATAATAAATGATAATAAGGAAATAAACATAGCATGGTATATCATCTACCTTATAGAATTCATTATTATTATTAAATAGCTAATATACGTAAAATTATTTAGAACTAAGCCAAGCATGGATTATTAGAGGTAAAATTTAAGGCAATTTGTTTGTCTGTTAATTTCCCCCAAAACCAAATTTGCCTGAGAAAGAAGTGAGAAATAGAATGACACTACAGGAAGTGGCATGAATAATTCCTCAAACAAACCCCTTCATATTGTACTCTCGGAAAGAGGAACTTGAAGGCAAAGAGATTTTGGTATAAACTGATAACAGAGTGAGAAAAACACTGCAAGCCAGATTGAGGGGGAAGGAAAAGGCATGGTAGTGGTTTCTAATCATTGCCACAATGGCCAGCAGTGTTCTTCAGGTGTGGTCATTACTGGTATCTTTTCTGATCATGATACTTTCTTGAGCACAGGAGGATCTTAAAATGCTATGGAGTGAACCTGTGGTTTCCACGTTTTGTTAAGTTGTAAATCTAGAAGGTCAGCAGAAGACTAGAAAGCAATAAGCTAATTATTTTATAACATAATCGTGTGAAAGCTAGGGCACTAAAATGTATTGGAAAGACATTGTCATGAGTTCCTGAAATAAACTGAGGACCTGAAGTCAGTTTTAGGAAAAGCAACCCTTACCAGTGTGAAGCCATGTTAGATGAATATAGGAGGAAAACCATGAGAGCATACCTGGATAGCACAGAAGGATCTACTGGTTTATAAATGCTTATTATAAATGAATAGAGTATATGGAGGTTAAGAAATAATTCAGATTACTTTTGTAAACTTGGCTCTGAATCAGGAGTTGAGTTCACTTGAGTGGTTATGTCTAAGCAGAACATGTCCTGTTGCAATAGTTCAAATAAGTAGCACAAGGGTATATATTTACATATAACAAGTTTGAAGCATCACAACTACAAATAGCATAGGCAATTGGAAGACATGAAAATGAAAGGGAAAAAAAACACATAAGCTTCCCTTCTTAAGGCAGGGCATAATTTGAGCCGTTGTTGTCCTTTTCTATTTTCCTCTTATTGCTACTCGTGATGGATTTGTGATTTTGGAAATGTTTTCTGGGTTTCAGCTATCTTAAAATTGTTCTCGCTGTATCTAATAAACTTTCATTGGTCTTTAATAGTAAGTTTTAGCTGCTTCATACAGGGAGTAGTGATTCTTTTTCATTGAATTTTCTGTACCATTTTCAATAAAGTACACATCTCCTAGCCTTAAGGACGCAGAATAATTTATCTCCTAATACTTTCCACAGCATGCATCTTAACAGTTTGGAGATTAACATACTAACAATGGGACTTTTTTTTCCCCACAACTCCAACTCCTAGGTAGAAAGAGATCAAAAAACAACCCAAGGCACAATGTTTTAGGGGATAAAAAAATTAAGCAAGACCCTTCCATGTGTTCTATAAAAGTTATTGTAATAGAAACTTATACACATTTCAAATATGCAATTAAGTAGGATATATTGTGCATTTGTTTTTGAACATGAGAGTATTTTGTAGGAGAGGGTGAGCATTCTGTTCTAATAAAATAAAATAAATAATACAGTCACATTATTTATACCACAAGAAACCAGGCTGCATATACTATCAAACTTACTGTGACAATGAATGATTAGACAAAGTCTTGTAATTTTCAGGGACAATATGTAGTTCCACCCATCTCCCATGTTCATCTGATGCTGATGGGCAGCAAAAAGTATTTTCCAAAGCTCATGTGAATCATTGCTCCAATGTAGTCAATACTTAAGTTCTTATTCAATTAGTTAATTATTAGTGTTACTAATCAAGGGGGATAGAAAAGAAATGAGTATCCTGGAGTTTGAATCCCAGATTTTATACACTAGTTGCATGAATATGAGAAATCACTCAAGCTAGTGACTTCTAGCTAAAAGATCTATCTGCTCTAAGTGATTTTCATAAAAACCATTTGTGCAGGGGAAGTTACGTTTTATAAAATGTTTTATCTGTATCAATTACCATTGCTATTTTTCTTTAAATATCAACCTATCTGTGATGCCAATAACACAAATGAAATAAAATAGAAATCATGTTGCACCTTATTTTTGAATGTATATATTTCAGCTTTCATGTCAGAAATCAACTACGTTGGGATAGAATCATCCCTTGGGTTTCAGAATGGTAACTGGAATAATGATTTTCATGGCTAAAAGGGAACAAAGAGACAATTAAAAATGACAGTCATCAAAATGATAGTCATCAAAAATGATATTTGCTATTTGCCAGTAAATTATGATGGCGTGTTTGTGACAGTGGTGATGAAAGGGCATCCCTAGTTTTTACTCGGTGCTCAAATAAGTACGTCATTGGCCTTAATAGGTAGATATATGTATATACACACACATTCCTGATAGCTTCATTTGGAATTTTCCTTTCTATCTGCTGAATGCAAAAACCATCTGCAGGTGTCCTTATAGCTACAGCATTACCAGAGACAAAACAAAATAGGTCAAAAATACAAAACAAAGACACCAATCTGACCCAAATAGTTACTTTGTTTGACACATATCATATCACAGTTGGTAGCTGCAGTACTTATTTGAATTTAAACATTGATGAGGTCCTTTGCTGGCCCTGTTTTTGCAAACATATGCAAAGCTAAATATACCAACCCTCATTAGATCAAAAGAAACACGCATAGCATGTCAGGCAGTCATTGTTGTTATTACCAATAAACAAAAATGTATGTTTCCCTAATCACAGTGCTGAAATGTGCTCTGTGTTTATGGAGCAAGCTAAAGTAAAAAAATCTTCCTGGTTGAGTCTGTGGACTCTGGCCCTGGGGGTGTACCTGGGTCTCAACATCTGTCAGCTTTCTGGTCTGCTCTGCAGTCTGAGACAGCAGACTGGTTCCTATCTCCAGCATGGTAGCCGTGTGGTTCTGAACTGCATTCTGCTGTATCTGGGCCATCTCCGACTTCATATTTTCCACAATGTAATTCTCAAGCTGCAAGAGATAAAGGACAAAACATCACATTATAAGCAAAGCCTCCCAGTTGGGGCCTGTAATATTTACAATGACAAAACAAGACACAGCTGGCAAATCAGCCATCTGGCGGGGATCCTCTACATCTCTGGGAGTTGGAGAAATGGGAGCAGAGCACACAGGAATCCAGTTGTCAATAAATTCCTAATATACTGATAATATATTTATAATAATCCCAATCATAATGACAATTTGCACTTGGATCACACTTTCTCATTGTTGACATTATCCATTTAGCCTTTATAGCAAAGATGTATCACAGTCAGCTTTATTGTTCTGTTTCTTTTATAGATGAAAAAATAGAATCAGAGAGGGCCAGTTATAAACCCAAGGTTGTTCAGCAAGAATGCAGCCAAATTCCCATACTAATTTAAATCAAATTATTGGTGCTCTAGTTTTTCCATTACACCATAATGACCACTTATCTCAGAAAAATTCAGCCCTTGCTTCCATTTTTGTAATGATAAATAAAAGATCACACTGCCTTGGGGGAATGGGATGAGGAGTGGGAGGAAGGATGATGTCCAAATCAAAAACCTTTAAAGGAATATTAAAATGTAGGCAATGATGTATGAAATGAGCTTCAAAGCCTGAGAGGTGGCTATAATCATTCTCTGTGCTCCTTTGCAAGCTCAAAAATAGGACTGAAGTACAATGCATATAGCAGTATTTCCCCTTCTTGCTTTGGGTAATATTTAGTCCTTTATGGTGCCATCTTAGAGAACAGTATAGTGCTAAAATAAATGGTGCCATAGGAACCACGGAGAATTATGAGGTGACTTACTGCAAGGGAGGCTACGAGGTACCTGGGAGAATAAAGCTGAACATATCCATTGTTTGAAAAATACAAAAGAAACCTGTACCTCCCTGTCAGTGCACTTAATTCCTCCACCACTGTGTGATCACTACATTTTATTACTCAATTACACATATAGGGAAATTGCATCCTAGAGAAGTCAGGTCCAAGGCCACACACCACAAAAACAGTCAGACTTGGACTTGAGCACTGAAGTCCTTAACTCTCATACCAACACTTTCAACCACTTGGTAGCTCTGCCAAGTCGTGCTTCACAAGCTGGGTTCCAAATCATTAACAGCTACGTGATTTTTACTGATTTAGTGAACCATAATACATCCACTATTTCATAATCCATTGTAAAATTATTATCATGTAATAAATATAGTCTAAATGTAAATTCCCCTTTGTAAAGCTTTGGCAGCTCACTTGCTAACATCATCCCTTGCTTATTTCTATTTATCAAACACGAATCTGTCCCATGCTAACGAAAAGGAGTTTTCAATCAAACTCATATTATTATTAATACATCCTAAATCCATTCTTGGTCAATATAACATAATTCCCCTTCATTCTTTTTCCCCCAAATTAGACATAGGAGGAAAAAAAATTCAACCTATAAAAGTTTATTATAAAACAAATACAAAAATATTAGAATAAATCTCTGAAAATTATCAAAATGTGAGGCCTATAGGCCAAATCTTGACTTTACTCCAATTGAACCAACATATTTAAACAAGAGGCAAGTAGAGAAAAAGAGGGTATGACAGCATAATAAAAATCTGTCATTTTGGATTCCACATCCTATGTGCCCTTTTCCCTAATAGCATTCCTTAACTTTCTTTTGGGAAGTTATCTTTTTGCCCTTCAGAACAAATGCTTCTGGGAGAGTTATCCCACCCCAGCATCACAAATGAGTACAGGTTCTAACTTGGCAAGTCAGAATGTTCTGCTCTTACTTCGTAAGTGTGAATTGCTCAAGAATGGGAAGACATCACAAGAAAGGCCATTAGCCTCAGTTCTGACATTTTATCAAACTCGTTTACAAAATAACTTTGTTTTCCTCTGTGGTTAATAAGCTGGTGACATATGCCCAATAGAGTTGATGCCCGATTTTGCCACCACAAAATCAGAGTCACCCAAGAATGAAGCTGACTCAGAAAGATAGATGTTAGATAGGGAGATAGATAGATAGATAGATAGATAGATAGATAGATAGATAGATAGATAGATAGACAGACAGATCAATCGATCTATGTACATACATAGATATCTGGATACATACATAGATAGACACAGAGTCAGGTGATACCTTTTGAACACCTGGACCTAGCTTTATTTTTAGCTAGTTCCACCCTTGGACATTCAGTCGTAAGTTGCATGATCTAACAGTCTCCCATTGAGCAGCCAACCTTTTTTCCTCTTCAATCACATTGATTTAGGTTTTTAACACTTACAACCAAGATTTTAGATTATTACCTTTGATCAATGTTTAGCAGAAGAAATTTCAGGCAGGAAAACGTTAACAGTATGTTCCTTACTTTTCCAAGGAATTTGAGGTTATACATAAGTGTATGTATCTTAAAAAATTACAGATATGTCTCCATTATAAAGATAATAGCTATCATTCATAGCTGACAGTTATCAATTGCCTACTATACAACAGGCACTGAGCTACATGTTTTCCTTTTATAATCACACTTAAACCTCACAATTATGTAGGTTATAGTTGCTATATAGATGAGACTATTGAGGCACAGAAACGCCCAAACAACTTGCTCAAGAACAAGCAAGAACTCAACCCGCAGCTCCAAAAGCCATGTTGTTAACCTCTAACCTATTTAGCCTATAGCACTGCTTCATTATGCTATGCATTTTATTATGTAGCTCTTAAAGCTTGAGTGTTCATCAAAACTATGTGGGGAGAATTTTAAAATGCAGATGGAGGTACAACACACCAGAAATCTTTAAGGTCATGTACTGGGAAACTGTACATTTTATAAAGCTTCCCAATGTAATTCTTATTCAGGTAAAGAATCAGTGCATCTCAAATTGTGGTCCATAGAATAACTGCCTGTGTGAGACTTGCTTGTGAATAGCCATGAAATGAGGAGTTTGCACTAGGATGTAAATTGTCTATGTCACTAAGCACACTGTTTAGTTCGTTCACCTGATGTGTATATATACAAACACACATGCAAGACTTTCTCAATGAAGAAAGTGATGCTCTAGTTTGTATTCTGGTGCAAACTTCTTAACATGTTTCCTAAATGACAGCAATGTCCTTGAGTAACACTGATTTAAACCATCAAAGTAAATTTGAAATATCAGATTCCCTGCTTATCGAGAAATCTGACTTTCTATGCAAATTTTCCTCTTGAGAGAGTTCACTGATGAGGAACTCCAATACAAGATCTGCTTGATAATTGTACATCATTTTCTTATGCCGTTGGTTAGCAGGAGTCTGTTCCCAGAGTTTGACTTGCTCCAGGTGTAATGATAATCATGTAGCCTAGTCTTCACAGGGAGGACGCCCTCAGCATAGGTGGCTACATCAAGGTTCAGTCTTTTTGTATCAGCTGTTGACCATTCTGTACTATTGTGCTTTCTGTAACTATAAAGGTTGACACCAGCAAAGCAAAGTAACTATTTCATGCTAGCATTCATCGCAACCATAAAGTGCCTCTAAGTTCTGCTGACCCTGTTGTAGAAATAAAGTAAGTATCCAACCTATACTAAAATGCTCATTTAGGCTGCCATGATGAGTAGCATGAATATAGTTCTAGTTAATTATTTTTTAATCAAATGGGGCTGCCTTCTCCAGGAGTAACTGCCTTTTAATGCAAAATCTAATGGCACACTTAAGTAGCAAGAACCAGATGTAGTTGATTTAAAGGCTGAAGCAGGAGGCAGAAGTCAAATACACAATGTGTGATTAATAAGGAGGACTGCTTTCATCTTATCTCTAAACATTCCTCTGTAGATCTACAACTGTGAAATCCATCTTGATGTGCCATAGCAGCCAGGTTCAGAAAAGATTTGTAACAAATTTGATTGTCTTCATATATTCGCTACTGGTTTTAAAATATGTTTACAGAAAATGACAGCTACTTTAAGGTTCAATATTTTATAAACATCTAAGATGTGAATTTTAAGCTTAGAAGTTGCTGATTACAAGAGCTAATGAGTTATAATGTAGGAGTCTCTAAATCTGAATCATAAAATTATTTGAGTATACTGCCATGCCAGAGTTTTATAAATTATTGGCCAAAATACTAGGAAGAGGATTGTAGAATTTGATTTGAAATGAAATGACAATAAATGATGACTTTCAAGGAAAAAACATGTTGCATTTGTCAAGTGATTTAATATTTGCATAACTTTTGTACACATTGTCTGACTTGATCCTTATACCAAACTTACAAGGAGAGAATTGATTCCATTTTATAGTTTAAAAATTTGAGGCCTTCAGTGACTTTGTAGAAATCAAAGAAAAGTCAGACATCAAAGAAAAATCTCAACTCTATCTTCTGATGTTCTACTAGCCTCAGAGTTGTGGGAAGTGTTCTGTTATTGGACTAGCTACCTGGATGATTGGTTGATAATTTCAATTTTAGTCAGCTATTGCATGTTCATCATTATAATATAATATATTATAATATTTATTCCTTTGAGAAAAAAATGCATCATTAGAGGGTAATTACTTTCACTTGGCTTCACCATAGTGGCAACCAAGTTAATTTGAGGTGGGATGAGAAGCCCTAGGGCCAGGTATGTGGAAAGCTTACTTTGCCAGTACTTTTAATAGAAGGGAATCATTAAAAACCCTCTCATTAGTTCTTACCTTTTTTTCTTAGTAACGTAAGTTTATTTTGTTCTGCTCATTCTATTTCTTGCCAACCATTGTAAAATATAATACCGGGAATAACAATAATACACAAAGCCCCTACAAAGGCTACATATGTACCAGCTTTTACAAATACGCAGTTCATTGAATCTTTAGAACAAGCCAGGTACTGTAAGTATTATTTTTCTCATTTCACTGATGTTTAAACAGAGGCTCACGGAAGTTAAGTAAATTGTCTAAGATCACACAGTGGGTTGTTGGCAGAGCTGGTATGTTGCTTTGAGGCTAGATTTCCCAGTAGCTCCATTCTGAAGGAAT